CCTTTAAAATACTCTTTGTAATAAACCAGTAAACATGTTTCCCTGAGTTCTGTGAGTTGCTCCAGCAAATCATCTGAATCCAGGGAGGGGGCTGAGGGAACCCTGATTTACAGCAGGTTGGTCAGAAGCACAGGCAAAATAACCTGAGGCCTGCGTGGCATCAGAAGTGGGGATTAGTCTTGTGGGACTGAGTCCTTAACCAGTATGATCTGACGCTATCTCCGGGTATATGATGTCAGAAATAATGGAATTAGGCTGGGCACGGTGGCTCATGCGTGTAATCCCAGCACTTTGGCAGGCCAAGGCAGGCGGATCATGTGAGGTCAGGAGTTCGAGACCAGCCTGGCCAACATAGTGAAACCCCATCTCTACTAAAAATACAAAAATTAGCTGGGCGTGGTGGCATGTGCCTGTAGTCCCAGCTACTCAGGAGGTTGAGGAAGGAGAATTGCTTGAACCCGGGAGGCAGAGGTAGCAGTGAGCCGAGATCGTGCCACTGCACTCCAGCCTGGGCAAAGAGTGAGACTCTGTCTCAAAAAAAAAAAAGAAAGAAAGAAAGAAAAAGAAATAATTGAATTATAGGACACCTAGCTTATGTCTACTATAGAACTGCTTGCTTGCTTGCTTGCTTGCTTGCTTGCTGCTGGGGAGAAATCCCCACACATCTGGTATCAGAAATGTGCTGTCAGAGTATGGTGGAAGAAATTGAGTTTATTTTTCTTTTTTACTCACTTGGGAATGAGTTGTCAAAAACAAACAAACAAGAGACATCAAAAGTTATGGTCCCTGAGCTAAGCTATATTTTAAGAGCTAACTTCTAGACAGTCAATACAAATTACCTTAACAAGGTCTGTACCAACTCAGTTTCAATGCAGTTGTATAAATTTGATAATTGTAGATGTCTAAATTTACAGAGTTATTCTCTTAAGAAGCTGAGTAGGATGACACAATTAGCCCTCTTGAATTTCTGGGGTTCAAATAGGGTCAAGTTTGCTAATATAACCTTGGTGTAAGTCTCTGATAAATTATAAGGCACAGTTGTGGAATGACCATATGGAACGGCATTATGACCCTTAATCTTGCCTTCTGTTTAAGTTTCAGATCTGGGATGAGACTTCTCTGGTCAGAAAGTTCCAAGAAAGGTTGTTTTCCGGACTTGCTGATGATTGAATTACCCATCTCTGAGTTCTAGTTTTAGTGCAAGTTGAATATCCCTTATCTGAAAGTCTTGGGACCAGAAGTGTTTCAGATTTCAGGTTTTGGAATATTTGCTTATGCACAATGTGATATCTTGGGCATAGAACACAATGTTCACTTATATTTCATATACACATAGCCTGAAGGTAATTTTATATAATATTTTAAATAATTTTGTGCATGAAACAAAGTTTTGACTGTATTTTAACTGTGACCCATCTCATGTGGTCAGGTGTGGGATTTTCCATTTGCAGAGTCATGTTTGTACTCAAGAAATTTTGAATTTTGGGGCATTTTGGATTTGGGATGCTCAACCTATACTTAGAGTTAAAAGAAGACTGAACTGCTATTTTTGAACTGAGTGATGGGACCCAGTCTTCTCTGAGGTCAAACAGCATATATATTCAGGGCTCACAGGTCACTCCTTTTGAACAGGTTTTCCCTGGGGAAAAAATAGGCAAGTTGTGTTCAATTACCCTGTGGGCTATCAACTATAATTGATACTCCTATACTACCCTCCTACTCCTAAACTAAACAGACTTGCTTTTAAACCCGTGAGTCACCATTTATCTTCACCACTGCTGTGTAATCAAATCTAATAACTCATTGCCTGGCAATAGTATTTTATCCAAATACCTTATATATATATTTCATTGTTTGTATTTTAATTATTTTGAAACATAATTTAGCTTAATTTTCAAATGGAGTTAAACTAAGAACAAAATTATCAGAAAACATCAAGGAAGAGTCTTAAACAAGTTATATGCCTATTGTTTTTACCTAGAAAGCTTTCCATATCATTTTTCTAGTCTCATTATTTGAAAGACTGCTCATCTGTGTTAGTTCATTTACTTTTTCCAAGTAAGGGTTGCGGCTCTGTCATGAGGTAATAATTGGGTTTCACATTCTACACTAGGAATTTCGGCATTATTCTATAGGACTGTAAACAGTCCAAAAATGCAATGACTAGAAAAACTATACACAGTCAGCTATCTGTATGTGAGGTTTCTACATCCACAGATTTAACCACCCCCAAATCAAAAATATTCAAGGAAAAACAACAGTAATAAAAAAACGAATAAAAAATAGAGTATAACGACTCTTTACACAGTATTTACATTACATTAGGTATTATAAGTAATCTGGAGGTGATTTAAAGTATATGAAAGGATGTGTAGAGAGTATATGCAAATACTACACCATTTTATTTAAAGAACTCAAGCATCCATGGATTTTTGTACCCACGGGAAGGGGAGGGGCCTGGAACCAATCCCCCAGGGATACCCAGGGACAACTGCAATCAGTTTTATTTAAGGAAGATTTGTAGTGTAAGGTAGAAGATTAATAAAGTTAAGAAGGATACTGGAAACTGGAATTAAGAGGCTAATTCAATAGCCCAAGTAAACAGCAATGAAAGCATAAAATAGTATAGGCACAGTGATAAAGGAGAAGAAGGAATAGAGAGTAAAAGATAATGCAGACAGATATCTGACAGCTGTCATCTGTAGAATAAGGTGACAGGATGCAAAGACAACACCAAGTCTCTAAGTAAATCAATTTTGTAAGCAACCACTCCACTAGAGGATGGCAGCATTGTGCCGGGAAATAAGGGCAGAACAACAGTAACAGACGAAAAAGCAGCTGGAGTGATGAGAAATCTGGTTTCAGGTATAGGCTCAGGAAATGAGAGGTTCAACACTGGAATCATGTTGAAATCAGTCAGGCAAACTGTGATCAGAATCCAAAGCTCAAGACTCAAAATCAAGCATATGAGATCTCGATTCTGGAGTACTCTAATATAAAGTCAAGATGATTTCAGAGTCATAAATCTATTAGTTTTGTGCTACTAAAATCTAAAGATTCCTGAACAAAACATCACTACGCATTAAAGATCTAGAGCTGCACTAATATGGATGTCGCATGTATCTACAAAACAGTTACATATGGCTCTTTATATCTGAATGAAATTAATAAGAATTAAATCACATTAAAAATTCAGTTCCTTAGTCATACTAGATACATTTCAAATGATTAACAGCCACATGTAGCTAGGGAGTACCATATTAGACAGTGCAGATATAAACTATTTCCATCATTACAAAAATTTCTATTAGCACTGATCTAGAGATTTGAATCTGAAAAGGAATAGTGGTTATAAATGTTTCATATATTCCCATCATAACCCACCTATGTGCAAAGTACACATAGACATTTATTACCAAGAGGCTCCAGCTTCTGCAAACTAGAAAAGATACGTCTACCTTGGTCTCTTTAAAACAGATGTACATAATACAACCAATTAATTTATTCTCCAAATTTCTAAATATTTTATGAGGCATAAATTTTGTTGTAATGAGAGTTAAGTCATTATATAGAACCTACCTACATTTAGCTTTATATAATAAACACTTTTCAGAGTTAAAGATTGGTTTTCTCTGGACTATGCTTCTGTTTTAATCAATTATCTGAGGCAGCAGGATAAAAATGACCTTAACTCAATGTATCAAATGTTTCTTTAACTGCAAATTGCTGTTACATCAGTATGAAAGGTTAAAATATAAAACATTTTTATCATCCCTTTTAAAACCCAACTATATTCTCAAGATAATGCTACCCATAGTTAAGAAATACTGTCACATTTTCTGTTCCTGACATCATTCACTTCCCTATAGCCTGCTTCCTTTACCAAAAAAAAAAAAAGAAGACTATGATGTTCAGGCCACAGCAAATTTTGGACCAGTGTTCATTTTCCTGTACAGTACTCTTCGTACTTCACTGCATTCCTGTTTTAGACATTGCTTCATTCAATTTTTCTTTTACAAAAAAGGAGTTCAGCTGCTTGAATATATTATACAAGATTCAAATTAATAAACCACCTAAGAATCTAGAAAATTATAATCATCTTATTCTTTCAGATGCAAATATTAACATAAATTTTAACAAATATCTATGATCCAATCCTGCCATCTACTGTTTCAAATGTGAAACGATACAGCTCAAAAGTATAAAACATGCTCAATAATAACAGAAAGTGGTTAACGCAGAATTTGTGCCAATTCCGATCTTATATTAACATAATTAGAAAGCTGAGTAAAGAAAATTATGATAAACTCAAGTAAGGATCAGTATCTTTCCTGGTTTTCAAAAGACAAAGTACTATATTATTAAATCCTTTGTTATCAGGGTAAATGTATATATTTACATTCAGGAGATTTCAGCTCCTGCATTTTCCCAGCCTCATTTACTTAAAGTTACTGATGACTTTCATTTATAAGATTAGCATTGTTCAGTTCCAAGTAAATCCTCAACAGAATATACATTATATTAGTTGTCTCAGTCTCCAGCAGGAACAGGATTTGAAAGTCTGTTTACCTTCAACCTAACAACTGTGATGACCCTTGGAAACGTGCTCCTCTTTTCAGAAGTCAGCCAACTCTGCAGACCTACCTCTGGATACTATTCATTGGACTGGTGGCTAACCCTGTAATGGCCACTTCTCTCGATTTAAAAACCTCCCCAGCACCCAGTCCTGAGTTGATCCTAATTTCCCTAAACTATCTCATGTTCTCAGGGATCCAGCACATTTTGTACCCAGCCTATCAAAGTTTTAGGACAAGACACATTAGCTTCTTTTTAATAATCAGTTTCTCTATTTTACCATATTATTACTACTACACATGTTGTCCTATACCTAAAATACTTCAACCATTCCTTTCTGCTTCCAGAACTAACTGAAACATTATTGACAGAAACAAAGTAGATGCATTTGATTCAAGTTTCTTAAAAGGCTCTGCAGATTTTACCTTGAAATGCCAAATTCTTGGTGAGGCCTTTTGCCATTATTACGCTCCCACCTTGAAGACTGTTCAACAGGTAGCAATCCTGAAGTTCCTGAGCTCCTCCTCAGCTGTGGAGTTGGGGAACTATTCCTATTTAGTCCCTGTTGAATAATTTAACAATGGTTTAAAATGTCACTCTTTAATATGCTATATATGTAGTATTAGTGATGGCACATGCAAGTATCAATACAAAGTATATTTTTAACATGTACAGAGAAAAAAGAAACATTTTATTCTGAAAATCTGTCAATTTACTCCAAATTTCACACTCTATTTTGTTATTCTATTCCTCTTCCTCCTACTAAAAAATATGTCTGAGCTCTATAATTTAAACTAGATTCTTTTCCTTTTGTACATTTTACTACTTGTTTCATGAGAAAGAAACAATTGGCAATTTAAAAAGTGGATATGAAAGATTTACCCTGAAAATCAACTTCGGAGGACAATCTTAGGATCAGGGATGATCAGCCCTATATTCTAATTTTTTTATATTTTCAGTACAGTGCTATAGAATTTACTTAGTGGTTAATCAGGAGAAACTGCAGGATTCTGAGTTTGAATAAATGACTGAGTTAAATACAGAACACCTTTAGCATTAATATTTTGCCCTAATTTTAAAAAATATCTTCAACTAACCCAAATGTTCAATTAACAATATTCCATTTTTGACCATTATAAATGTTTTACTGATATTTACATAATAGTTTCTGCTTTTTATGAATTTCCTCTATCAGCAGACACTGCAGCAATCTCAGAGATAAATATCTGTCTTATATTTCAGTTTTCCCAAGGACATTGACTTTGTAAAGGTTAATAGTTAATTAGACCTGCAGTGAAAAAGCCCTTTATGCTAATATCCTTGTTGACTGTAATTTAGGTTCACATGATCTTTCTTTGTTTTTAACGTGTATAAGAAAGTTATATTAAGTTATCTGTTCCTTTTCCCTTTCGCCTATTGTTTTTTAAATAAATGCCATTGCCCTTTTCTGAAGTAACCTCAGGCTTTTTATATGCTTTTCCAAAAGGAGAGACAAATTTGATATAGAATTCTAATAAGGAGTTTAAGGAACACAAAGAAAAGGAATAAGGGTTACTTCCTGGTTCTTATATGACTTACTCTATCAGTAGATTCCAGAACCCAAAATAACCTTGATTAACTACAATGCTCAGGAAATGAGGCATTTAAGCATCCTGTTTAATTAATATTATGTTTAAAATGTTCCTAAAATGTACCAGCACACTTTTCTACACACTAAATACTGTTATCAATATGATTTCTGATTTAAAATTTTAAGAATTACCATTTTTAAAAATTACTATCCTGAGTATCAAATATCAATAGAAAATGCAAAGGAGGGGTAGAGTGAAAACTAACTCAAGAATACATTAGAGTTCTGTTATTTATGGTTTATTGCTATGCCCTCTGAATGCTTGTGATTAATCTCTTTCTTATAAGGTAGATTGCTAAAAAAGAAGTCATATAACTAAGTACTAATTAATTGGGTTTTGACTAATGTAGGTGCTACTGTATAAACTTTAAAAAAATAAAAGTATCACATAACTGTGATCCGGATTGTGATCAGTACTTTTGAAATCCTTTTCTTCTAATTGGGTTTGCTTAATTTTTCCACATTTCTAAACCCTAATGCGGGCAACTGACAAAATTAACTGATAATCAAAATTCCTACAAAAACTATATTTATCTATTTCTAAGTTCTATAAGCATTATTACAATTGACAAAATTAACTGAAATAAATTTCATCTTCTCTTGGTTAGTTTCCTTATCTGGAATAAAGTGGTTGAGTAAAATAATTTCTAAAATGTTTCTAGTTTTAAAGTTTTATGATTTTAGCTATTGGTAAAGATACTAATAGTCAAATAAAACAAGTAAAAGCACTCTGAATAAGGATAATGCATACCAATTTAGAAGAGTATTTATTATTTTCTAAAGAAAATCCTATTTTGAAATATTTATATTTTAAAGAGAAATTAATCCTCTATTCTAATGATATAAAAATCAATGCCTACTGGGCTACCGTAATCTCCAGTAGGTATAAAAGGGGGGAAAACAGGGTTCAAAAAATATAAAAATCACTTTAAAATAATGCTATGTAATTCATAAAATGAATATTATAATGACCATTTCTTCTTGGCTCAACAAGAACAATTCCTGGATTCTAAAGAATAAAATAGAGCAACAAAATGATCTGGCTACTAGTTTGTTGTACCACCCTGGAACAAAATTTGCTTGTTGTTCTCTACTTCTTAACAAGAATAATAATACATAGTTGTTACCATTCAAATTATAAGTACTAATCACAGCAATGTACTTAAAATAAAAACTGAATACTCAACTATAATTATTTGAGCTTATAATTGCCTCTAACATCCCAAGCAGCTCAATATTATGTCCGGTCCTTGAAAGGAAAATTGTATTTTATATAGAATTTAAAGGAGCAGTTATTTTGAAAATATCATTAAATTTGATAAATAGGGTTGGATGATTACTGTATTTTGACCTTGTTAAGTTTTCTATCCCCTTTCTCAGCTGGGTCCTCTATTTCAGAGCAGGGGTAAAATCCAGGAAATGGTGTGAGAGGATTAATCTTTGGCCTACAGGAACCTGAGAAAGCACCCATTAAGCTACTGATACTCCGTAGAGAGGAAATGACTTGTGGTGGAAGGCTTGGATCAATCAGAAGATCTGAAACCATATTGCGAGCCTCATTTAGCACTGAAAGATCAACTCCATTTCCGCCTCCAGAATTCTAGAAAGAAAAAAAGTGAAATTTTCATTCATTTGTACATGGCATAAACGACATAACAAATGGTATAATTCTAACTTAAAATTTATATATATATGTAGCAAATAACCGTGAACTTTAATTTTTTTCTTTTTCACTAGTTGATTATCACATTATATCTAATGGTATTAATTACTAACACTGAATTACCTAATGACAAGTATAAAACTAAATCTGTATTTACTTTAAAGACTGTAATTTGAACATTTCATTAATTTGTCGATTATTTCCTTTCCTTTATAACAAAATTTCTTTTAAACACACAAAGCACTTATTTCATTTACCTTACTCACTTAAGAGGCAGTCTAACACAGTGACAAGGTTTTGTAGCAAACATACCTGAATTTGAAACCTAAACTTTAATCTCACCTGTGTGACCTTGAGCAGTTTACTTAATCTCTGAAAATTTCAGTTTCTTCAATGTAAAAAAAGGATAGTAATGTCTACCTTATTATGGGCTAATATGAGAAATCTGATAATATATGTAAAGCAAATAAAGAAGTGGATAATGTATGATTTAGAGCATTAAAAGTATTATTACTATTAATATTATGGAAAATGATGAGATAAAAATACAGAAAAAATGTTAGTTCAAAAGACAGAGATAGCTTAAAGATGAATAATTAACAAAAACCTCACAGACAGGGTTAACATCAGGCAAGGCTTTAAAAAATTGGTAGAAAAAAATTTTTTAATTTAGAAGAAATATGTCACTGATGTAAACATAAGGTGATTTTTACTCTTCAAATAAACATATATATGACGTTCAATTTGATTACCCATAGAAATAAGTGGACTAACAATCAGAACAGTAAATTAAATGTTACTTTTGTTTTTTGTTGTTGTTGTACATTGAACTTACATTTGGGTATGTTTGCAATTAATAATTATTCAAATTAATGAGTTCACAAAAAAACTGTTTATTAAAGTATCCTCAATACATTTTGGAAGTGAGAAATATTATGAACATTACACCAACACAGCTAAATAATGTCTGCTCTTTGTGGAATTTTTTTTTCTTGTGAAGTGTTAATATGTATTAGTTTTTATTTTAAAACATTTCCTGATACCAGGGCACAGCCCAACTATTTCTAGCCTTTCTCCCTTGCAAATACCACTAAAATAAACACCTTCTATTCTTGTTACTGTGAACAATTAAGCAGATTTCTTATACACAGCTTCCCATAATCTGAATTGCTGAATGCAAATTAACATGTTAAAATGTTGCCATTCCTCTAAAACTGCCCTAGAATATGTTGATCAGATCTACACTTCTAATTGTAT